TAAAATTCTTGGAGAAATTGCCGTACAAATATGTTCAGAGATAAATGGGGCAAACTGATCATGCGCGAATCACTTTACAAAACACTCTTGTCATCCCACATTGAATACGCATTAAGTAAAATAGAACCGCTCTTGGCTGTTCAGTGCAATCGGTTGACATCCTGCATTGGTCAATGATCAGGTTTCAAACCTGAGACCTTTGCTAGGGTCATGGACCTTTATATCTGATAAAGGTCACCCTTATTAGTATTCTTTATATAAAGAATACTAATAAGGAGTGTTTTATCAGATATAAAGGTCCATGCATGTGACCAAATAAGGCTGATTTACACGGTACGATTTCCTACGAAATTTTTTACGAAATCCTACAAGTCGTAGGATTTTAAGCAGTGGTTCAAAATCCTACTACAAGTCGTAGRTYGCGTACGACTGTTGTAGACAAGTCGTAGGGGCATTTATACACTGCGTGATTCAAGTCGTATACTACAAATCGCACGAGACAATCGTGCCGTGTAAATCAGCCTATAGGCTCATTCTATTGGCCTAGTAGCTCATTAAATATGTATGAGTTTTTGAATTATGCTGAGAATATGGATTTAACTTACTGGGTAGTGATGCCAATCATCAACAGTATCATTGGTATATTGCAACTTGTACTTTTTGACGTATTGATTATAGCTTGTATCTCGTCCCTGAGTTGCTATCTAAATATTGTCAAGTACGTCATTAGTCCAATATCTAGGAATGTCACTAAGACTGTTTTCCCACAAGACCTAGAATGTAAGCCTTCTGGGAATACTGCCCGTATATTTGCTGTACGGGGACGTGCCGCTGGCCAGGGTATGTTTTTTTGCTGTCTTAAACAGGGTATACATTTCACCCGAAATTGTCTCTACAATTTAGATAAAAGACCGATATAATTTCTTTTTGTGTCTTAGACAGTGTAATATTTTCATAAGATATACCGTAGAAATAGTAGAAATACCGTTTCACTGTAGCAGGATTAACGCCTTATCAAAAACTTCTTATTGTCTCTGATGGATGTCAGTTTAATTGCAATTTTGATGGTTGCGGTGTAGATAGCGATTCCTTATTTTTTCCGATTTGTCTTGAACAGGGTATGGATTTTCACTTTCTAGTGTCTTAATTTTAGACCGCTGGCGGCACGTACCTATCCAAAACGGGGTCGAGTACCACCACATCCCCCCCTCCCCACACCCACCCCCGGGGAATACTGGCTTAGCCTCAAATCAGAGAGAATGCAAATTTGTAGGGCTATTGTAATGAAGCCATTTTTTCGATATCGGAAGGGCAAAAAAAATCTGATTTCCCAGAAACAATTTACCTTGAAAACTTTCCTTACTGATCCTAAATCAACTTGCAGATATTGGCCGGCTGCAAACACCGCAGCACACCAAGCTTGGGCATAGCGTTGGTTAAGACGACCTTTACTTGGTAAGCACTCATCTGGAGGAACTCCTTTGTAATAAGACGAAGCTGAAATTTGACTGTCTTGTATTCTGCCATCTTCCATTCCCAGCGGTAAAACGCAAGCTACAACAGTTGAAATTGCAAACTGAAACTGTTTTATTGCTCATCTGCTTCTTAGTTAATAAAATAAAGTGCTTGTAACAAAAAAATAGATAAATATGTATAAAATATATGTAAATTTGTTGTAAAGAAATAGAGCCAGTACATAGTCGTACTGATCAGTCACCTGCGCCATATGAAAAACGAGCAAAAGACTGGGAATGAGGACCTTAAACGATCCAGATTTTTAAAAATCCGTTTACACTATTAAAAACAGTATATCTAAACTAATAAACTAGAGGAGTTTTATTTTCTTAAAGTTGAATATCGGCAGAGCTACGAGCATTTCACACATGCGTACGTTGTAAATGTGAAAACGAGGCTGGTAAGGCCTGATCAATACTGATTTTCACTCAAACGTTTCCAATTTCAAACACCAGTAATTTCTGGTCCTTAAATGTATGAGCAATGAAACTTTCCGATCTTGATCATTATAATATGTTCTTCCAACGAGTAGTAATGTATATTGTACAACCAGGAGCCCTCATGGTACAGCTCATAATATATTGCGTGACGATAGCCACGCCCTTTGTTATATGATCTATGGAAGCTGTGAGTATTGGTCAGCTTGTAAAAATAGAAGTCTTCTTATGACCCCTACATACAATTTTTGAAATTATTAGCTCAGCGGTAGTCGATGCAATGGCATGCTAACCTTCCAAGATGGCGCACTGAACTGCGAAGGAGACTGTGAAAAGTAATTTAACAAGGCTTCCTTTTATATATTACAATCAACTGGACAATTTTCACGTATTTGAACACCGTATTTCAGATCGATACGACTAACATTAAGCATTTGTGACAATTGTGTGTTGTCAATATTTACCTATCTGGTGTTGGCATTTCTCACTTTGTATCTTTGCCCCGATGCAATCAGCTGCTGTTTGATTGGTCAGCGGATTCTTGCATTCACGAGAACGAGTCCGATTAAAACACCTGCATTCCCATGCGCTCCACTTAGACCACTTACCATCTGAGTAGACGAACCAATCAAATATCAGAAATGAGGCACTGAACCATGTGGGATCACAAATTGCACGAAAACAAGTAAAAAAAATGTGTAGTGATCTGACTCAGTCAACTCGAAACACAAAGCGTAATAAGCCCGTCTCTTCACTAAAAACTAAGTAGCAATAAAGGAATCAAAAAAGAAAGAAAAATCAATGAACTATACCTTTGCATTGGTAAGTATTCCACGCAAAGTCTGGAAGACAAACTTTGCCAGCGGCACGGCATGGCTTTGATGCACATGGATTCTGTCAACAAAATACACAAACATAAGCTTTCATCACGTGACATCACGTGGCCTCCATAAAGAATTGCATACCTTAATTGGGCAATATTCGGCCCCTTCGCTGGGTAACAGGTCACCATGGTCTGACAAATGGTCAGCATCGTTTAATTCACAAGTTCTGCCTTTGTCGCGTTGCTTTCTCAAGTTGTATGAGGTGCATCGTACATCCTTGAAGCATTCGTGTTGACAATTTGGCTTCGCAGGTGACGACACACGTAGCAATCTGATCACGTGATCTTTTAGAGTTTTGTTTACATAACAACGTAGAAAATCGAGATCTCGACAGCCGTTTTCACCTGTCAATCATATACATACAGCATGAGACTTGCCTTTGAGCAAAGAAGATATGACAGGATATCAATACGAAAAAAACATAATCTTGATATAAAGTTTTGTCCTAATGATGTCGCGGCACATCTCCGCCATTATCGCCTTTAATGATGTCGTCATTGAAGAAATACTTGATCGACATTCGATCTGATAAATTCAGTTTTCAAACAAAAAATCAGAAAACCAACAACAAGAAATTATTCTTTTCACATGTGAAGAGCACAAATCAACAAAAAAACTGAACTCTACCCTGCTCAGCCCAGTGTGACAGAATATATATACATACTTCGGAAACTCAAAGTTTCTTTGACAATGTTCAATTACCTRGGGCTACAATGTTAACATTAAAATGTTTCAAATTGAACCTACCTTTCAACATGGAGAACTGTGCGAAGTTGAGAATTAGGAAAAAGAAGGTATGAAAAACGTCCATGACAACTCTCGCTGCCTTTAGTGATCTCCCGCCCGATGGTACCAGTTGTTTTGAAAGCAATACTTCAGCATAATTAAATAAGTATTTAAAAAAAAAACAATTACGAGTGAGAATTTTTCAATGCAGAAGAAAAACGTTAATTACAAAATTACTGACTATTCATCGAATAATTGCTGGATCAAAAACATCACAATTGGGGGGTGTTTAACCCAGAAAAAAATATTTAACGGACAGATTTTGGGATGTTTTAGTTGTTTTTGAGAATAAGAATTTTTGAGAATGAGTCTCATTGGCATTTAGATTTAATTTCTTTTATTTACGCATATATTTCTATATTATGTTTTGAACACTCACATGAGGGATGGCTATACCACCCTTTTCCACCTCCCTCTATTTCCGCCCTTCAAATAGTTCGGGAAACTATTCAAAGTTGCTCTTGACAGGTGTTGCAAGGCCTAGCTTGAATTGTGATCAATTCAAGCTACATTGCTTAATACAATTATTTAAGTTTTTTTATATATGAGATAAGTCAGTCTGCTCGAGTGTTTTTCCAATTATATTCATTTATTCTTCACTCTTTTTCATTTTTAGGATTATTATTGAGAGAAACACTTTAACGATCGATTTTACATTGATAAAACTATAAATACAATAATAAATATACGTTTAAAAAAAAGTCATTTCATAAAACAATGTTTGAATTGCAAACACAATAGCCACCCCCTCCCCCTAAGGGAGGTAAATTCGCTCATAAAGGCAGGCGCCATTTATAAAACGATCTCTTCAGCAATAAAGCAAATGAAGTGTCAGGACCCCCTCCCCGTTCTGAATCTACAGTTTTCTTTGTCCAGGGTGGAAAGGATTTGGATCATCTAAGTGAATTGAGCTAAGAGTATGATTGACAACTCGATGGTGTGCTTCATCAGCACGGATGGCTAAGATTACATCTCGCATTGTTGCATCCTCCTGAAACACGATGATACTATGAGTTACTTTTGAAGACTTTTATCAATTGTTATGATTGTCAATGCTTTGCCTCCCTATGCCCTGCTCCTCTACAAGAGCTTCTGTGCTGGCCACATCCCTGATTCACAATGACAACACTGTCTTCCTCACAACTTGTAGCTGTCAGGTATCAAACTGAAAATTACTCTACTACAAGAGACTGGTGATGGTTATACACTCCCCTCTGCAGGCATCACTAAGAATCACGGGCTTCCTGTCTTTGGGAGTCAGAGGAGGGAGAATGGGGACGAGAGAGGGGCTCCTCTTCCTATATTTCCTTTCTCGTTACTAATCTACTAGCGGCCAAGATGGAAGCTCAAAGGAGTAAAAAAGAGTTGCCTAGGGAGCAGGGTAATATGGCTACTAGTTCAACTGATATCAGATAGTGTAGTTTAAAGAAAGTATACCTTCAGTTTCCAGTAATTGACAGCTATTGGCGGTGCCTTTAAGTTTTTCCATACAGGAAGTTTACCATTATCAATACACTAAAACAACAGAAATTGTTTAGCATGTTTTGTTTACTGAAAGCAATCCTCTAAAGCGTTTTTACATGGGTTTTCACTGTAGAGTAGGCACAAAATCTTGCATTTTTGACAAAAATTTAAAAATCAATAAAAAATAGTGCAAGAACAAGGATCTCAGCCATTTGTTTAAAAGGTACCAACACATTCGAGTTACTCACTTCAATGCAATATGTGTAAGTTTTCACTGCCTCTTCTTCCAAGTACCCAACAAATCTGTGACAGAATCTGGGGCTCAGCAAATAAGCAATGAAAAACATGTTGACAAAAACACCTGAGAATTAACACATATCATCAGCGTTTGAGAAATGACAAAATGAGAATAGAATAAAAAACAGATGGGAATAGAATAAGAAATGGAATAAATAGCATACCCTGTGCTCCTATTATGACTCCTCTAAACAACGTCCCAGGTTGTTTAAGCTCAAGTGCGGTCATCAAATGCATTCGCTCATTTTCAGCCTCCTCTGATAAACATAAAGAAAAACATACATTCATTATCAATGATTTATTAACTCATATTTATAGTAATTTGTTACCTAATAAGGTATGAATCCAGCCATGATCCCGTGACAGTTTACGGAGTGATTTCAGGTGTCTGGCCATACCTCCTATCATACCAGGAACACCAGCAACCGTTTCCAGCATTATGATACGACTAAAACACAACACAAGCATAATATAAGACAACATAATCAAGTGTTATCAAACATCCAAAACAAATTGTTGTTGTTTTTTTTGCTATGCATCCTTCAAAAGGTATTCGAACACAACCTTCTAGTACCAAGGGAACAGATAAAAATACAGTCACGTTATTGACACAGGAATCCCAATAGAGTTTGTTCTTACTTTAACCACTTGTTTTCTGTCATCGGACCAATCTTGTATAGAGAAACCAAATCAAATAGTGATCTCAGGGCTTGAACACTGTAATATGCTGCCTGTACGACAAGAAGAGTATAAACTGTATAAAATTACTATTGACAATGACCACTAAACAGATGTAGTCTCCTTTAAATAAGTGTTTTTCTTTTGGTTTCTACATACCTTGTCTATTTTTGTTTTGGGAGGTTCGTGGGTTATTTCAACTTTGTAAACATCATCTTCAGTCCTAAAAATAGAGTTTTAAAGCAAATCTAAATATATTCTCAGAACATGATCTGTAAATTAGATATTTTCATAGTTGCATCAAAGCCCATAATCAAATAACTGCTCATATAAAGATCAGTATATTTTTGTATTTCCTCACCATATTGGATGTGGTAATAGATAAGATCTGTCATCTGCATTAGCACTGCTTGGTTTGGCATCAAGACTTTCTTTGAAATGAGGGAGATTTTGCTGGTTTGTTGTTGTAGTAAACAAACTACGAACCTGAAGATGAACAGACTGAGGTAATAAATTTATTATAATTTAATTATAATTACTTTTACAATATAATAGCAAATAGCTGGTAAATATTTGCCTTCTCTTCAAAGATTCGCAGTTTTTCATTGAAATTCGATAAATCAACAGCTGTTCAAATAAACATCCCCAGTGAGGGTAGGGTGGGGGCGTGACGATATTGACCTACGAACCTCGATTGTCGGATTTGTTGAAGTGAAAGTATGTCTTCGAAAATTCCCGCCAAAAATAGTGCATTAACAAAACCCGACGTTAGAATTACCAAATAAAAAACAGTCTTTAGCGATGCAGCATTAATTACATAGATTTTTAATTAGGTAAATAGTCGAAAGTAAGCTGTAATTGTCTTTGATTCACAACAACAACGCGTTCACAAGGGTTTACAGCAAACTTACCTTGTCAGAGCCTAATTCTCAACGAAATAGGAATTATTTTACAATAATATAATCTGCTCACCGGAGGTACTGAAGAAACAACAAAATCACCGGATGATTTTCCAGCATGCGATCTTTGGATCTGGATGTTATTAGCAAGATGAGCAGTTTGTCCAAAACAAGCTCTCTGCTGTTTTGCCAAAGCTACATATGCGTTTAGCAAACGGCCCGAACCATAAACTCTTCCTATTCTAATAGTAGTCATTCTCAAGGCGAGGATGATTCTCGCTAGGATTTGAAATCGTTTTGACTACAGACTCAAACGATGTAGCTTATCTATTATCTTATGTAACAAGGACTCGAGATTGCGTGAAGCGGATGTGACGTCAAAAGTACACTGTCATTGCTGAGTCATTGTGAGTCCTGGGAATTTTTCGCCGTTTCACGTGCGTTTCTTTTCACGATAGCAATATGTGGCTTGTGCATGATCAAAGTCATGATCGTACATTTCAATGCCAGGGTCGAAAGCTACTTTTATATCGGCAGGGAGACGTTTGGCACCCACGGAATCCGTTACCATGCGCAACCTGGCCAGAGTTTCCACTCTCCCTTCTTCTTCCCACAATTCTTTAGTAAACAAAGGAAAACCGTTCACTTTTGGATCAGTTATTTGTTTATTGATATTTCACAAAATGAACAAAAACTATATTACAACTAAATGAGTCCATCAAAATAATGAAAGAAGCCGTGGTAACTGAATTCATGTGATTGAGATGTTCCAGTCGACTTTTACCGGAAGTCTGCTTTATATGCAACAAGCATAGACAAAATTAGAACAAAACTACAGGCACCATGGGCGTGGCTGCTTGAAACCAAAAATATCCTATCTGAAATGAAAACAACAAAATCAGCAACAAATTGATAGATTTGTAAATACCCGGAAACTGTTGTGGCCTCGAGCAGGCTTTAATTAATTAGCTTTGTGCGATAAATAAATAAGAGAGAAAAAAGGGGAAAAAGKAAAAAAAGGGAAAAAAGGGAAAAAAGAGAGAAAGAAACGCAATCTGCTCGCCTCGGGGTCGCGCGCGCGCAAATGAAAGACAGTGCAGATCTTTTTCCACTTTTGCGTTTACCTTTGTTTTCTTCAGAAGGTACGGCAGTTTTGGTTTCTTTCCTTTTAAAAACAGCACTCCTTTCGGTCCCTCCTCCTCCACGAAGAACGAATGAATATCGATTTTGATAGCGACACCCAAATGGAAGACGAATCTGTGGAACACGGGAGACCTCATTTGTAATGTTACCATCGGAGTTGCGAACTGCATTCGAGAAAATCAATAAATGGTCGTGACGCAGTCGGCTTGTGCCGCATCCTTGTAGGGGGACTCGGAAAGAAGCCTTGGTTTTGTCGAAGGAATGAGGTCTGCAATGGCGATCTTGTAAATGTAGCGAGTGTGGATCAATGGAAGATGTAAAATACCGCATATCCACATCAACAGCCATGTGTGACGAGTGACATGACAGCGTGATTGCCTCTGTCACGTCATCTGCCGTGACATGTGGTAAAACAGCTGATAAAAAAGAAAAGAAAACTAAAGTAAAACTTGATAATTTCATCGCGTAGCGCTACGCAAGACCTTGCTGTTGTGCGCTAATTAGGGAAAATGTAATTAGTTATACTAGTTATAACAGCCCACCAGCAATCTGTACACTAGCAATGATTTTTTATTTGCACGTAAACAAAACGCTGGCACGTACGCTTACAATTGACAGCCAACTCTACCTTGCTTGTTTGCACAAAATTGAGCTAGTTAGGCTCAGTTGCGCTTAGCTTTTCAAGTTTTCTGGCTCTTCTTTCAAGTGTTTAGACGCTTTTCGAAATGTTCTTTCATTTTCCCATCCCTATAATTTTCAGTCCATTTCCCATTATGTTAATGGAAATCATAAGTGTTTATCCCTGTATGGGTAATTTGCCAAGAATTTTTCATGTTTATACAATACAATTATGTGGTTTTTCCAGACTATAAGCGAACGCGTTATGCTACACATATTTTAAATTTAAATTAAACGAAATAACTAATGAAGCTGTAAAGTCAAGTTTAATAAAAATAGCTAGTACACCGTTGCAAATATGATTAGCCAAAAAATGCAATATTTCATAACTATAATTTCATCAGATATTCACGGATTTGACAGCTATAGAATACTTGAAAATTAGATATGGCCGCTTGGCTAGGTTCATAATTTCCAAAAATAACAAAAAAAATCTACTCCTTTTCTTCGTAGATGATTAGACCGAAAATAAGCACTCCTTTCTTGAATTTTTTTTAAATAAAATTATCTTTTTAATTTTATGTTTAAAATACAGTTTTGAGATCTCGATCTGCACTCCTGCTGTGTTGGCAAATATTTTTAACTCGATACTGGTATATAGATGAATAGCTATTATTTATTGACGGGGGAAAGATGAACTAACTTGAGAGAAAATTGCATTCTAAAAATATGAAACGCACAGTCAATTGCTCAATACTTTATTCAGGAATTTGACATTTTTTTCAATTCACTCCCGATGTTGTTTACACTAAAATTGGTTTGTTTTTTGACCAATGGCAATTCCTCTTGACTAGTATAGTATGTATAGTACATTTTCTTTCAAAGTTTAAATTTATCATCCGTATCTTAAGTGCATTGAGTGTTTACCCGAACTGAACGTTTATAACCTAAAAAGGAAATATATTTGAAAGTAATATTTTGAACGGAGGTGACTCACCGATGAAGAGTATAATCATGTCCATAGCAGTCAAAATCTACGGTCTGTTATACGGCACTATATGACTGCTGCTTTGGTGGTCTTCATTCGTTGAAAACTAATATTTTTCATTCACGATTAGACTAAAAATCACACAGCATTTGCCATTRTACATTGAAGGATTAAAGAGCTGCTCTCATTGCGAAGGCGAGATTAGCACGTTTTGCTGCCCAGTCAAATCAACATAGTGAAAAATGAGTTTTTGGAATAAATTTTTGATGTTTTATTTTTACGTGACAGCGAGAGATGTATATGACGTCACACCAGGTCCTGCACGCGACGCTTTTCTGAATGAATCAATCAAAAAAATGAGTATAAAAACAGGAAAGTGAATGGGAACTAAAAGGGAAATAACTATAAGAATATTTTATTGACATAGAACCGTTATTAATAACAAGTTTGTGTAGGCAATAATTTGCTCGCATCTGCGTACTGCGGTATGCTGTAACCATGACTAGTGTAGGGGGTCCATGTTAAAATTGGCAGTTGTTTTTTCATTTTTCTTCTAAAATTTCACTATTAAATTGAAAAAAATTTAAAAACATTAGCTGATAGAGACTAGCTACTAACATGTACTAATATCAAATCTATTTGAAGGATTTTTTTAATTTTTTTACTTGTTTTAAGGAAGTTGAATCGGAGTTATCCTTCTAGAAAGTTCCTAAGGTAAACGCTGGCCTGAATAATTGGTTCCTTCTGGTGAAAGGTGTCCTTTGATAAATAAATTATAATTTTCATTTTTTTTGTTTTCCTTTTTCAGCGGGCTTCCTGTGTAGTACATTCCAAAATGGCGACCGGTCTTACTGTAGTTGGTGCAGGTGCTTTGGTTTTTGCTATCGCTCTACCAGCTTATGTGCGGATTAAAGGCGTAGAGCATGTTATTATCAATCAAAGATGGATTTTTGTGTGTCTTTTCCTTCTTCCTTTATCAGTTTTGTATGAGATTTTCCTTTCTGTTCGCAACTGGTTGGCTTTCAAGTACTACAGCAGCCCCGAAAGGCACGCAAAGCGAGTTAGATACGTGCAAGAGCAGGTCACAAGCTGGAACAAAAAAGGTCGTGTGAAGCCAATGTGCACAGCAAGACCTGGCTGGATGACTGTTAGCCTAAGAGTAGGCAAATACAAGGAGACTCATGAGAAAATTCAAGTTAATTTGATGGATGTTCTTGAGGTAGACACTGAACGATCTGTTGTTAGAGTTGAACCATTGGTAACGATGGGTCAGCTGACAGCTACTTTACTTCCACTTGGCTGGACTGTCCCAGTCTTACCTGAACTCGATGATCTGACTGTAGGTATGTTTATTACACTACAAACCCCCCCGATGGGATAGCAGGTTTACTCATGCAGGGCACACCTAGATACACACCTAGATACACCTGGCTCAATTACAATTAGCTTAGGTATCGTTATCGAATTCATTAATAATTCGTAAGGCAAACAAAATGGAAAATAAGCTTAATTGCCGTGACTGCATCTTTATATGAGCAAGAGATTTGTCCTGATTTACATACAACTTTGACCTCGATTTTCTCTTAAAAAAGCGTGTTTTTTTTGTTTTTGTTTTGTTTTGTTGTTTTTTTTGCAAAATATGTGCTAGCTTATGTTGGAATTTGATGAGCTTGCAGCTTGTAGTTTTGAATGCCCATAAAGGTCTCGATCCTGCTCATATTTTAAATATCAATGTGGATGGTTGGTTATGGTATAATAGTGATTATATTATTTTATACTCATCTAGGTGGTCTTATAATGGGTTGTGGTGTAGAATCCTCGTCACATAAGTATGGGATGTTTCAGCACACATGTGTTGCATATGACATTGTTCTTGCCGATGGGAGCCTTGCTCATGCATCCAAGGTTTATCATTTTATTATTTTACACTTCTAAGCAATCTATTCTTTCTTTTTTTCAATCTTCCATTCATTCATTTCTTTCCAGGAAGAAAACACTGATCTGTTTTACTCTATTCCCTGGTCACATGGAACCCTTGGGTTCCTTGTTGCTGCCGAAATTAAAATCATACCTGCTAAGAAATATGTCTGCTTGACTTATCACCCCATTCATAGCAAGGAACACCTCATTGCAACATTTACAAAAAAGTCTTCAGAGACAAAGGACCATGACTTTGTTGAAGGGCTGGTTTATTCAGAGAACGAAGCTGTCGTAATGACTGGAAAGTTCTGTGATGAACCAGAGCCAGATAAGGTAATAATGACAAGAGAGAACTGTGTTGAAAGTTAGAGAAGATAATTACAGCTCCTCAAACATATGATGATTATGATGGTGATGACAATAATAGTTTATTATAATCTCTATTATAGGTAATTTAAAAAGGTTTCAATAATATTTTCCATTAAAGCTTAAAACATTTTTTTTAAATCAATTCAAGATCAATGCTATTGGACATTTCTGGAAGCCCTGGTTCTTCAAGCATGTTGAGCAGTACCTTACAGGCAAACCAACATTGACTGAGTATATACCATTAAGAGATTACTACCATCGCCACACTAGAAGCTTGTTCTGGGAACTGCAGGTACAGCATACTTCAGACTACCCATTCTTAGACAGCGTATGAAGTGTGAGATAAAAGCTGTTTCAAGGGCCTAAACGATCTCAATAAAGGCCTAAAAGATCTCAATAAAAAGCATTTTTTTAACATTAAAAAAAAACTTTTTTTGGTCTCAGGACATAGTACCATTTGGCAACAATGTCATATGGAGGTATCTAATGGGCTGGTCAATGCCTCCAAAGATCTCTTTACTTAAGCTAACGCAGGGTGAAACATTACGACGTCTTTATGAGCAGCACCATGTGGTACAAGACATGCTGGTTCCTATGACAACACTAGACAAGGCTTTAACCTGCTTTCATGAGGAGTTTCAGGTAAGAAAAGGGTGCATCATACAACGTGAGATGTTCCAACTTTGGAGCTGAACGCCTGGTTATGCAGACAGCGACCAGGTACAACTTTATAAAATTTTTGATATATAACGCACGCTCTGATTGGCTGACGACCATGTTTATATTAGAGGACAGAGACACAGCTGACTGGCAAAATGTGTTTTTCGCTCGAAAAAAAACAGCAAAAGAACTATAAAACGGCCGCTTGTGTCTCTGTCCTCTGATATAAACACGGTACGTCGCTACGCTCATGTTTCTAAGCTTGCTTCTCTCGTGTTTTTCAACTCCCACTGTGTTTATATCAGCCGAAAGAGACATGTGCGGCGCTTTATAGTTCTTAAATATAAAAGATAGCCTCTTTTATACTTTTGTGGTAAAAGTTTCCATAATTACTAAAATTATTATATGGTACAAGATATATGCAAGAAATCTTTATATGCCTTCTTACTTTGAGTTTCCCAATCATTTCATAGCTGTATCCACTATGGCTTTGCCCAATGTACTTGCCTAACACCCCTGGACTAGTCCACTCGCATGGTGAAGGAGATGGCAAGATGTATGTTGATGTAGGGGCTTATGGTACTCCACATGCTAATGGCTTTAAAGCCAGGAATAGCCTAAGAAATGTTGAAGCAATTGTTAGGAAATTACAAGGGTAAGTTCCCTGCTGTGCATTTTGACAAAATTATAAGAAGCAAAATGTACAGATTCATAAGTTTTGTTAACTTATTGATGTTTTGTAGTTATCAGATGTTATATGCAGATTCATACATGACCAGGGACGAATTTCATCAGATGTTTGACCACACATTGTACAACAAGATGCGCAAAACATTGAACTGTGAGGAAGCCTTTCCAGAAATTTATGATAAAGTCTCAAGAAGTGCTCGCATTTAGTTTGTGCTGCATTGACTGACACAGACTGGAGCTAGCAGCCAAGTTACAAGGCTCTTTGCTGAATATTTGTGTACTTTAACCAAAGATTAAGCGATCAGCATATGAAAAGAAGTAAATATTATTCATTTGGACTGTGCAGTTGTCTTTTATTTTTTTTATTTTCTGTTTTGTAATGTACCTACAATGTAATACAATCTTATGAAAAAAGGACATTTTTTTAATAAAGTCTTAATCAACGAGACTATTTAATTGTTAATTGTATATTTAAGCTACAGCTAACTACCTGTGGTAAGAGTATTAGAGCTGTTACTTCAATGCAAATATTGTGATTCAAATAGTTCAATCTAAAAAGGCGAATAACAATGTACTGTTTTCTGTTGGGTAAAACCGAGTGATTTTATATAACACATGAAATAGCGGCATTAAAATACATGTAATAAAGATTTTAAACTTATAAACCTATAGTATGTTAGCTGATATTTACTAAAATTATGCATTAACTGTTTAATTTTAATGTTTTATGACCTCACTCTACATTGTGTTTAGATTTGATCTCTTCACCCAGTAAATTACATTCACAATCCATTGCTTGTCATTTGACTTTCATGCGGTTAATAAAATCACTCTTAGCACACTGAATTGTTATAAGAAATCTTTTCAATGAATGTCTTTATTTACCCCTGGCTTTGAACTGAACAATCTTTTTACAAAAACAGCAAAATAATGTAATGTTCATTATTATTAGAAAGAATAAAATATCACAATCCACCAACAACTATCTGCAAGTATTTGATCTATAATGATATCTAGCTGTACAGGTCATCATCTCCATCGTCATATAGAGGGTCAGCCCCCCCTGATCCACCTGCACCCCCCTGGGAGCCTTCGCCACCACCTGACTGGCTTGGGAATCTAGAGACACAAAATAATATATATCAGTATTGTTGAAGAACATAATCATGCCATACCACAACCAAATTTCTGCTGTACATGTACCATCATAATTTTCTTGCCTTTTTCAGAGTGTATCATTTGTTTCTTAAATTGACTCACCTAAAGTTTCCTCCAAATCCTCTGCTTTGCTGTAGGGTCTGAGCAAACATTTCATATTTCCTAATATCATTATCACTGACTGAACGACGAGCAAACTTCATGGCTTCCTCAAAGTGGTCTTTTCTGATTTCTGGGACAGGATCCTCATCTTCCACTTCCTTTTGAAAGAAAACAATTTACTGTAAATTCATGATGTACTTAGATGATATATCTAGTATTTAAGCAAGGAAAAGTGGCTTCAGGAGTGTATAGTTACACATTTCCTACCATGTCAAGGTCTGGATTTTCAGCACGTTTTTTCTCTCTATTGATTTCAGTCTCAATGGATTCCCTGATTGCCAGCTTACAAGCCTACAAAGATAATGGGAACATATGTTAGTTGTTGAGGTGTTTACAATACTAAAACTTTTTGATAAGGAAAATAGAACTAAGAAAATAGGGATTAACGAATGATTTCCATCAATATAAATGCAGGTCAGGCGTCAATAGGGAAAGCATACTTGTATAAGAGTGAATGGTCTAAAGCCAGGTGTAAGCAATGTAAGTTTAAATGATCACTTGATTATATAAAACTTACATCTCAAACATGTATACTTTGGTATCCACCTTATTGTTAAATAATAGTTCTCCTTACCCTTTGGCAGATTTCTGTTAAGTCAGCACCACTAAAACCATGAGTAACTTTAGCAATATAGACCATGTCAACTTCCTAACATAGGGAAAAAAGTATTCATTAATAACAAAATAATACAAATGTACTCTTGCTTCCTTGGTTTTCCTGTATAATTATGACTGAGGGACTGGCCACATCAAAATCATACAGGAATAGGCCATTTTCATTATGACATAACTTTACTACAACTACCAGAGAGCCTTGCGCATTTTCATTTGAAGATTTTCAATCCCCTTGGTAAATGTAGCTAGTGCGGTACAGTATCATAGTCTACCTAGTGTGATAGWGTACSTAGTGCGGTACAGTATCATAGTCTACCWAGTGTGATAGTGTACSTAGTGCGGTACAGTATCATAGTCTACCWAGTGTGATAGWGTACCTAGTGCGGTACAGTATCATAGTCTACCTAGTGTGATAGTGTACCTAGAATAGAATTAGCAACCATAAATTAACCATTAACACAGGAAGATACACTAGACCAAAAACACCGCAAGAACAAAGATTTTGTCTTTTTTGGGCACTAATTGCATTACAAAAGAAAATTGGCAAAGCATTCTGGTAGATGTAGTAAATGATGCCATAATGCAAATTGGCTATTCCATGCATAAATGTCTAGAGAGAGACTATAAACTGGATTGATTAAATAATACTAACAACAAAGGACAATACCTTTCCTACTGGAGACTTTCTTAAATTGGCATTCAGAATTGAAATTCTTGACTGTAAAATAAAAATAATGATCACATAAGTTAACAAAAATATTGACACTTAACATGATGCATCCAATTTCCACACAAAGCATGATACTTACTGCTTCATCAGGAAGAGGAATATAAATAAGCTGATCAAGACGACCAGGTCGTAAAATGGCAGGGTCAATAATGTCTGGTCTGTTAGTAGCACCAATAATAAATACATTTTTCTTGACATTCATTCCATCCATCTCTGTTAAGATTTGGTTAATAACACGGTCAGCAGCGCCACCACCATCACCGACATTACCACCTCTTGATTTGGCTATAGAATCCAACTCATCAAAGAACAGAACACAAGGAGCTGCACTACGAGCCTACAAGAAATAAATTGAAACTTAAAACTAAAAATTTTAGGTTGATTCTAACCATGAATAGGGCAGCAATTTAAGTTCTCCAATGTTGTATTTGATAAAATATGAGACAAAACGTAAGCTTTCTAACAATGATTTGTACATGTATGACATCCTACCTTGTCAAAGACATCTCTAACATTAGCCTCAGATTCACCAAACCACATGGTCAACAACTCAGGTCCCTTGACAGAGATGAAGTTTGCCTGACATTCATTGGCAATGGCCTTGGCTAGAAGAGTCTTACCACATCCAGGTGGGCCATAAAACAACACACCTTTAGATGGCGTCATGCCAAACTTGAGGAACTTATCGGGATGTTCAACTGGATACTGGACAAGTTCTTGCAGCTCACGCTTTACGCCGTCAAGGCCTCCAATGTCGTCCCATGTTGTTGTGGGGACTTCAACAACAGTTTCCCGCAACGCTGATGGGTTGGACACACCCATTGAGTACTAAAATGAACCAAAAAAATTACTCTCTTTGTCATTTTTTAATTTAATAGTATTGTGATATGAAAGTAATTGGTTTTTAAGATAATAGTATACTTACTCTGAAATTATCCATTGATACAGCTAAGGAATCCAGCACCTCAGCATCAATGGTTTCATCTTCCAAGTCAATCAAGTCCATTTTTTCACGAATCTTGAGATAACACAGTAAAACTTAGTGTTGATGATAGAACACACATATTATTGTTGTGCGAGTTGCATTGTGGGACAGTGTTACTGGAAACAGTATTTTGAGACACTGTACTGGTTACACTGTACAGCAAATGCAGTATTAGAGACTAAATTATAGTATACTAAAGAGTAATGATTGGTAACTTAAGCATTGTGACAAGGTGATATTGTATGACAAGATGATATTGTGTGACAAGGTTATATTGTGTGACAAAGTGTATATTGTGTGACAAAGTGTATATTGTGTGACTAGGTGATGTTGTGTGACAACAGCATTCTGTAACAAGAGTACCTGTTGAAGAGCAGCTTCTGAGCAAAGAGATGCTACATCAGAACCAACATAACCATGAGTCTCAGCAGCAATCTAATCAATAATAAATAACAATAAATAACATTGCTTTACGTCAAACTCTTTTAGCACATTAAACTAAAGCTGCTGATTCATCTGATCTTTAGTTTTGCAAAGGTTGTCATGGTGATCATTGACAGATAACTGACATCTCACCTGTTCCAGGTCAACATCTTCACCTAATTTCATGTTCTTAGTGTGGATTCTGAGGATTTCTAGACGTCCAGTTGCATCAGGGATTCCAATGTCAACTTCACGATCAAAACGACCTAAAAGAAAGACAAAGTTTCATATTTTAAACAGAAACAAACTGTACATAAATATACTTTAACATAATAAACACACATGAAGTATAGTTAATGAATTGTTATGACATCCATACTCTGGTCTAATGTTTTCATACAGTATAAGTAAGTTCACTGTCAATCATATTAGCTGTCAATCTTACCAAACCGTCTGAGAGCTGTGTCAATGCTGTTAGGCCTATTTGTAGCTGCCATGATAACGACATGTGATCTTTGTTTGAGACCGTCCATCAGAGTCAATAGTTGGGACACAATACGTCTTTCCACCTCACCGTGGGTCTGTATAAAGCATCATAAAAATCAGTAAGGAAATACTGTATACATACTGTATGTGTACATTTTATTTGTCACAAATACCTTGTCTCTTTTTGGTGCAATTGCATCTAATTCATCAATGAAAATAATAGCAGGAGCATTCTTTTCAGCTTCTTCAAAAGCTAAAAAAGATTATCACAACCAACAAGTTAAAAAAAGTCAAAAATATAAAAGTTTTCAATGAAGATTAAAATTCACTGAATGTTCTTTTTTAACTTTTATATGAGTTGCATACCTTTTCTGAGGTTACTTTCTGATTCACCAGCCAATTTGCTCATTATCTCAGGACCTGGACAAAGAAACAAAGAATTAGTCTTTATCATTTATTGTGAAATCACAGGGTTTTATCTTACCATTGATAAGAAAGAAGAATGCACCAGTTTCATTAGCAACAGCTCTGAAAGAAGAAACATTAAATTCAATGAAGGTTGCATTCAATTATTACATTTGATTTTTAACGTAAGATTAACGTACTTGCTTATAGTAATGATAATTATGATGAGGATAATGATGATTATTAAAAAGTAAAAGATTTCTTTATGAAGATGGTAATGATATTGATGACAAGATAATTCAATAATTAAACTTATTTAGCTACAATGGATTTAAATGCATTGTAAACAGACAAACTACCTGGCCATAAGTGTCTTTCCTGTACCAGGTGGGCCATATAGCAGAATACCTCTTGGAGGCTATAAAACAATGGGCAATAACATTTTATTGTTGGAGTATTATAGCAATATCTACATATCTCATTATTATGCTACCTATGCATAAAAAAGATGCACTTGTACTGTAATTATCAATTACTCACCTTAACACCAATGGCTTTAAACAACTGAGGATGTCTAAGAGGAAGCTCCACCATCTATAAAACAAAACATTGAACTCATATCTCTATTTTAACTTCAATGGTGCACCCCATTAAGCATTCATACCTCTTTGATCTGAGCCAATTGCTTTCTGCATCCACCAATATCATCATAACCAACTTCATTTAGAGATTCCTCTTCCTCCTACAAGTACAACAAGGACCCCATGAAGATCAATCTTCCATACAAGTAATAATAAATAAAGTCATTTGTTTTGAGAGGGTAGCACGTAATAGTCCTTAGACTAATAAACTTGTGGCCCTGTACATATTCACTCATACTCACTACCTCAACATTTATTATTTTACTACCAACACTCCTCACAGCTAGTTTTTGACTGAGGGAGGAAAACCAGCGGACCTGGAGAAAAACCCTCGGAGCAAGGAAGAGAACCAGCCTACAAACTCAAATCACATATAGTCCCATACCGGGAATCGAACCAGGACCACAGCGGTGATAGACCGGCGTTTTAACCGCTCGGCCATCCTTGCTCCCCGATAAAGTAATCAAGTAATCATTAACTGTATGTATCGTTATTGTACAATGTATTATGTACTTGCCTCTCTCTTGACTGGTTCTCCTTCACAATGAATCACAGTATCAGGTGCTACTATACAGTATGGATTGGGATCAGTCTCAATGACCTTGAACTCTACAGCCCTCATACCACCACGTACACGAAACACATCACCTATAGGTATAACATATCTCAAGAATCAATACATATCATAGAACAATACTCAGGATAAGGCATGAATGAATGGATCCATGGCTTCATAAGCAAGGAAATACTGTATATCGCTATTTCAAAAAATGTTGTCGGATAAAATGGCGAATGTCAATGGTCGAACAGCGATTGCACGACCGAAAGTAGCCATGGGTTTTGTTAGTTGAAAGGCAATAGCAACTTATTTGTAATGTATGGTGGTCTGTGGTAAACACTGGCTCCATTTAGTCTCCATGTAAGGTGAATCCAATAAGTGAAATTTTGTTTATAACAACAATCATCGTTCGCCGTTCTCCCTGACAACGTTTTTTGAAAAAGCTGTATATCTGAGAGAGAGAGAGAGAGAGTTAAGTGAATTGTTATAATTACCCTTCTTGATAGGTCTGTAAGCCTCAACAAAGTACGGTTTGAGATAAACATCAAATAAATTTCTGAAAAGAACAAGACAAATAATATTAACATTTCAAACAAAGTTAGTATTAATACTGGTATTGTTTGATAATAAATACCTACCCTGTTAGACCTTCAACTGTGTCATCAAATGGCAAAACATGTATCCTTTTGCCATACTTGACGTCAGGGCAAGATTGTACACTGTAATTAACAATATTTAAATAAATAATATCCTGTAATAACTCACCGCAGACATTTCATATTTCTTTATCGGAGTAAAAATTAAAAAAAGAAATGTCTGAAGTGTCAGCAACTGTTTATTTTTTCCTTTTACAAAAACTATTTTGTTAGAAACATTACTGAAGACCTTAACATGCCAATCCACTTAATATGCCAGTATCTCAAAGGTCTTGGGTTGGAAAACCAAACCCTGAATTCTTATTTGGATTTTTGCATTTTCATTTCTCTTTATCTCCACTTTATTCCTAATTCTATCCCACTTCTTTAGCATTATAAATAAAATGTCATGTCAGAATTGTCATTATTAACACGTATTAACACCTATTTATTTCCTTTAATATTCACCTAATAATATCACCGAGCCTAACTCGTAGGTTGTGCCGTACAACTTTGTTCATTCTAATCTTTTCATCAGAGACTGTGTCATCAGAAAGTACAATACAGACCTAGAAAGTAAATAAATGTATCAATGCATACATTAATACTATATTCTGTTGGCAACTACTGATTGGCTAGAAATGACATCTATGTAAGAAGTACCCATTTGATTAAAAGAAAAGCTCATGTTTTGAAAAGTATTAACATCTTTATTATAGGAAAACAAATGACAATTGTGAATACAAATCTAAGGATATTTTACGATTTACTTGTTTTTACCGTATCTTTTCGTTTTTTGCCCTTTATAAGAACAGTATCTCCTCTGAAAAGCTGAAGTTCCTCCATTTTGTTCTACAAGAGAAACCAAGATCATAAGTTAAAAGTGAAACTGCAAAAATTCTGAAAACTGCATTTAAGCAGAAATGACCTCACTGAACAGAACTTGATCAGTCAGAAAATATTGAAAAAAATTACATAAATTCATCTAACAAACCTGAGACATAGTGACGACCGAGTTGTCATCATTTATAGCTTCCTCAACCACTAAACGGTTTGGACGAGATTTATTCTTCAAAATTGCAGTGGCAAGTTCGTCTCTAAATGAGAAAAATTGCAAGAAAGTTTACAGGAAGTCAAGGTCCTGGAGTTTTCTCGTCAGCATTTTCATCTATTCATACATGTCAAACAAAGAAGTCTTGAGTCTAAAGAACTCTGTCTTTTTATTTCTTCCTTTTAGAATGCTTCAGACAGTATAAAGTGCAAATAAGTTAGCTACATTATATGGATTTGGCATAAAAGTCATGAGCCGGCAAAAAAATTCACGAGGCAATCGTCTTTGTCTCTTTACCACGAAATCTTTACAGAAGTAAACTCATTTTTCACACGAAAAAAGTCACTCATTACGTATAATGAAACCTTAATAAACCAGAAGGCTATACTTACTGTTGAGCCATGATTGAATTCAATATTTGATAGTGAATTTGAAAATTTCCCTCCTTTAAACCTTCAAATGTTCTACTTCTTTGCTGAGTAATTCACTGGATCATGGACCGGCGTCCACTGCGCACGTGTACATCATTACGTCACCAACTTCCATATTAGGAAAATTGCTGAGTTGGCATCCCGATTCTCATTTTTTTTTCTTTTGTCTCATTTTATGGATTTCATAATTTACTTTAGTCTTTTTTTTAATGGAAATAAGGGAGATTTATTCTCCGCTGTCAGTTATCAATGATTCAAAACCGTACATACTTTACATCTAAAATTTGTTTTCTCGTCCTCTCTCTTGCTTCTTTGGCTTCTCTAGCGTCTTTAATTTCCTTTGGCTCAGTGCGCCTGCGTCTTTTACCTTCCGAGTGTACATTCACATCTGGTTCTGGTTCAGTTTTCCTGGAAATAAAACATTGAAACTTTATATAGTCGGGAAAATCAATTATAAGAGGACGGCCATGGACACATGGCCGCACTTGTACGCACTTTTAATGGCTTTATTTCATTATATTTTGTCAGTTGTATATTATTATACTAACGTCATTTTAAATGTTAAAACATTTTAATCATCGTCGTCATCATTTAGTCCCTTGATGACTGTTATGGTGACGATGCAGATTTTGATTCTTAGATATGCGCGCTTTAAACATGAATATAGTTTTTGTGGATAATAATCTTTTCAGTTACCTTTTCCTTTTTCTTCCTTTTGCCATCTCCAAATTCTTTCTTTTTGTTTTAAAAACAATAGAAATGACTGCTTTGAGATGAGAAGTGCAGCGAAATCAAACCGTACATGTCATTGCGATTCCTTTTCCTGATAATACTGGCGTGCTGTACCTAAGATCAGATCAAAATCACATGCTAAGATGACTTAAACACATATTAAATACAGCGATAAAAGGACCCTTACTTGAAGTTTGCATAACTTTTGCAAGCGCAATCCAGAAAATAATTAGATTTTAATTGATGACGTCAGCTGATAGATCGCTATTTATAGTGCGTGTTTTGCAATCTCTATTGTGTTATCCTCTTGTGTTTGATTGATAAATCGTTTATGACATAATCTAAACAGAAAGCAGAAATAATCAATAAATTGGACATAGCTGACTTGATGTTCTTGATCACGCACCGTGCGGGCTCAAAAAGACACAGGGAGCCCAATTTCATTAAATACCACAGGGAACCCAAAAGTAATTTAAAATGGCGGCTCATCACTATAAAAGTTTGTATGAAGAACGCCATTGTAGCTGAAATATTTCTATGAAAAGACTTCGGTAAGCTCTATTTGACACAGGACACCACATAGAAAGTTATCAACAATTTTATACGAGAGAATTCGCCTGTAAAATCTCGTCTCTCGTATCGACGTACCGACAACTGCATCGGAGCTCTGCCTTTTCTGTAGATTCAGTCGACGTATTAAAGTTTAAGTTTTATATCACAAAGTATGCAAGAAGGAGCGAACGAAGGTGCTAAAGATGGCCAGAAAACACAAGAAGAAACACTGATTGATATTTCTGATACGCAAACAAAACAAACTGAAAGAGAAAAACGAAGTGTTCGAAAGACTTCAAAGCCACAAGAAATGGTGGACTCCATTTCACTTAGTTCTGACGACTCAATGCCTGGGATAAATAGGCGACGTGTGCCAAGGGTTAATTGCCCTGAAAAGATTGTAAGTATGTGACTTCTGGCTTACCTGTCTGGTGCTAGTGGCGTAAACATGTGCATGCAGGCAGAGGATTGCATTTCATACTATCGAGGGGAGGGGTGGGGGTGTTTATATAGCCGTTCTTTAATAAGTAATTGAGATAAATGATATCAACTGTTCATAAAGATTTATCAGGAATAATCAATTTTTTGATTACAGATTCTTTGTGTTGATTTATCACCTGAAATGAATGAAGCCTCTTTCCATAGTCGTACAGCCCCAGAGAGGTAAAGATATGGACAAATGATTGTATGACTAGCTCAAGAAAAGATTTGTGACACACAATCTTCTCTCTTTGTAGGACAGCATACCAATTTGTAAGGAAAGCCTCTCAGATGTTTGTTAAGAACAAGGCTTACTTGAATCCAAGCCATGAATATGGGATCATAGTTCTTGAAGATGAAGCATCATGGGTAAGCTGCTAAATGCTACAAAAGAAACAATTATGAGCCTTGTGCCAAGGCTACTCTCTTTTCCACTTCCCATGACAATTTTGGAACTGGGGAAGAACTGTCAGAGTGTAGCCTGGGTATGAGGCTAATGAACTTTCATCAATTAATGCCATCAAAATAGATTATCGACAATTATGGTCATGATTTTTGTCATTGACACATTATCCACATATAACAGGCCCATAGACTACCTTAAAAATGGGGGGGGGGGTTCATTTTTTCATAATGCGGAACTAAATAATTAAATGTATAACTAAATTAGTTCAATGCACAGTATAGTGTTCAAGAACTGGCTGCTAGTATGAGCAGTTCATAACAAATTATTATCTCAAAAACAGTTAATAAGAAAAGAATTTTAAATAGAACAAAAAAGGGAAACACTGGACCTTTTAAGCTTTTGGTGGGGGGTTCGTCCGAACCCCCCTGAACCCCCCCAGGCTACGGCCCTGTATAACTTTATTTGTTATGTTGTTAGTAGAAATTTTTACATTCACTATGATTATCGCAGTACCAACAGTTTGAAAGTAACCCTGACACTGTCTGCACAGTGCTGGACCACTTGACACCAAATGAACAAGAAACAAAGGAGACCTTTGATATCCTTACCTAATATAAAATGACGAGAGTGTCATTGATAATTCAAAATACTAATGATGATAGCTGCAGTTTTTCCTTGACCATTTCAAACATATGGAAAGCTTATTCCAAGCAATGTAAGTCAATTTATGAGTTTAGAACTTTGTCATCATAATTTAATCTCATTCTTATTATCTTTATAGACAAGGGCGCATTGTCCTCCCTGAGCTTGAAGACCCTCACCTCCCTCCCCCTTATGTTGTACGAGTAATATTGGTATATGGACGATCGCTGTGCTCTCCAGTTATAAGTAGTCATGGAAACCAGGTAATACTTACTGTGAACAAGCTTGATCCACCATTTGCATCAGGGAGATTTTCAAAAATGTGATTTTCAAAGATATTTTTAATCAGATGTATATATTATAATGACAGTATTTCACTCTCAACAGATTCTACGGAGTTTGATGCAATCACCATATTTTTTCTTTGATGTACTTTATGTTCATCAACTGCCGTCTGAGAACAATAGATGCGAGGTAAAGCAAATCATTCGTTCATTTTATTATCCATCTATTCATTCATTTTTTCATTCGTCCATTCGTCCATTTATGCACTTTGACGCCTTGAAACGTCATAATCTTTAGCTACAAATGCCATAAATTAGTACTATTAATCATCCATTTTTTCAATTTCTTTTATCAATTATTTATTCCTTGTCTTTCTCTAGTCGATTTACGACACATTCTGTGAACTGGATGAGGACGAAGTCGGCTACATGCTCGAAGTCTCTCGAAGTACAACACGCTTGTTTGACCACATGGCAGCGTTGCTTGCACATCCACTTCAACGACCAATACAAAGAGATACTTACTATATGTTGACACTTAAAACGGACGGACAGGAAAGTCAGTAATTCATAGGTCATATAGGTTTAGACATAGCTGACAGCAGTCGATCGCGGGATTCCTGTGTCCGTTTGCAGAGATTGTTTATGTGGAGGAGGGCTGTATCATGTTGTTAAGCAGTTTAGCTGAAAGAGTTTATTTACAAAACCCAGCTCAGCATTTTGTTAAGATGAGTCAAATTTCCTCGGACTCTTGAACTGAAGGTCCTGAAGAGATTAGAAATTGCTTGGATTTTGCGCGTTTCTCGAATCTTTTCTCATATAATAGGCTTAAGTCAACATGTTTTGGTGTGAATGAAGCATTCAGTAGTTTATCGTTAGCATAATCTCACTGGGCGAATCGGCATGATTCTAGAAAAATTAAAATGCGTATAGTATTACGTGATTCAAGATCTTGACACGCCCTAACTGAAACATGGCGTCAAATTGGCAGTCTACGTGCTCGATAAAGATTTTTTGGGTGACTTTCAATCGCTTTGGGATGACGTCGTCAGTTCATCAACATCCGCTTTGCATAGCATTACCTCAGCCAAAAAGATTAAACAGGATTAGAAATTACTAGTAATCTAATTTACTAGTTTACCATTACCGCTATATTAAATCACTATATTTGGCAGAACCGCGAAGTCAAGTTTAATTTTTCTTGTCTAATTGTTCCAATTGTTCAATGCAGTTACTAAAAAGTGGATGGTAAACTTTACCTCTATCGGCATGTCTAGCAAATATTGATAACTTGTCAACCAACAGATTCGCTTGTTTAATAAATGCGAGTTTATTTTTAGTTACAAAACTTTTCACAAAAGTGTGCTAAATGGTTGTTTTTCATTGAAAGTTTTTCACTTTTTGAAGACTTTTTCAAACCAAACAAAAATTTTCTGAAAAAGTTTGTGACAAAGATTAATTGGTTTCTCATAGGATATGTTTTTGCGGTTGTTCCATTGTTTTTTTGAATGATGGAAAGCTCAATATCGTGCGTTATTGTTGACATCTTTCTCGTTGAAGACAAACTCAAACTCAGGCACTCTTCACGTAACATCTTTTACTTCACTTAGTTGCATATCTTGACAAATACTTCAATTCTATAGAAAAAGAACATTAACATTATTTTCTAAGTTTTCTTAAATGGTTTGATTCGATGTGTTTTTATCTTGCGGTATGTAATTGATTTATGCTGAGTTGTAAATGTTTACACTTTTAGCTGTAATTTACTTATAATAACTCCTTGGAGTATACACTGAAGTTACTCTTTTTGTATGCACTTCCGAAGTGATACTTGTTAACGAAGTACATGGTTTTGTCGAAAAAGTACGAGAGTGATTTAATTAGTGAAAACGTTGTCATGAATCGAAAACAGATTTTGGAAAAACAACGAGCTCTTGGTAGCATTTCTCAGAGTAAAACAGGAGACGCCATTTTGAGGAAAAACATTTTTGAAATGCGTGTTTTAAAGACAAAGTTAAGCGACCTTGAAAACGAACAGAAAGTGTGGAAAACCCATCACAACTACGGCGTAAAGGAAGCCAAGAAAGAGGCTAGAGAGATGGCTAAAGTAAGGACTTTTCGACATGTCGCTCAAGTAGCGCTAGCATCGCAAAGACTAAAGAATCTCGCTCCATTATTCAATAAAACTCAAGAGGATCATAAAGAAGTTGAAGAAGATCTAGACCTCGAAACGAATACGCATGAAAGCGCAGAAACATTGAACAAAGAGTTGAAACCATTTCCAAGAAAAGTGCGTCAACCAAACTCAGAAAACGCACCACGTCTGCCTCCATTGACGCTAAGCCCTCAGGCTCGTCACTTTAGCTTGCCTACCAGTATCCCAGAGAAGTCAAGCAACTTTCCAAGTCCGCTTATTGCGCGTCGACGAGTAAACACATGGACTGGGAAGTCAGTTATTACCGCTAACAGCAGTACAGCAGCGCGAGATGTTACAACACCATTCTCGAGCCCAGTTACGGGATCAATGTCACCTATGTTAGATAAACGTTTCCTAGGACTCAAAGCAGCGCTCGTTCCCATGCATCCAAGCGAAGAAAGCGAAAGCGAAGAAGGTCGACAAGAGGACGAGGATTCTTCAAGCGACGATGGATTTCCCACTTGCGGCTCAATTTCATTGTAATAATTATTCTAATAGTGAAAGAAACGTGTCTTGTGCTGAACTATGCTTCTCTCGACCGAAATATCACAGGCGAAGGAAGAAAAAGCTGGAAGAGCTATGTTTCACTAACTAGGCGACCATGCATCTCATCCAATCGACCATATTGGCATATTGTTCTATGATACGGTATGCCATATATACGCCAAACCGACCATTATTGAATGACAAAAGGTGACATTGTCCGGTCGTAGTGCATGCTGGTTTGGCAATGCAATTGACTGAGTTCGAATCCCAATTAGGGATCAAAACTCTAACGGGTTGCCTCAGTATTGTATAAGAAATTTTTCCTCCAAATTTGATAAGAAATATAGGAATGAGTAGTATTAGCTGCATAGTTGGGGCCGGATTTTTTGTGGGATTTGTGGAAAAAATCTGTGTGCTCATGAATATTTGTGGGTTAATATATTCAATATTTTTGTGGGCTATTACATATTCATTTTTGTGTGCCTTTCACTTAATCTCCGAACAATAGTCCTTTTGTTCTCTATTGTTTCGCCTAAGCGGTTATCGAGCCCCGAAAATAGGTGGTAGGTGGGTATGCTAATGAAGTCAAAAGTGATAGGGGAGGGGTGGTCAAAACGAGTAGGTGGTATAAATTATTTTAGTAGGTGGGTATGCTAATGAAGTCAAAAGTGATAGGGGAGGGGTGGTCAAAACGGGTAGGAGGTAATTCATTATCATAAAATTGTGGGCAATCTAATTATGCAACGTTAGTGTTGATAAATCGAGGGCAACCCTGTCATACAACTTATGTGTTGGTAATCTAATTATGCAATGTTGATAATATTTTATGTCAAGGTTCAGCGATCGCATAAATTAGTATCTGAAGAAAAGGTTAATGATCACTTTTGTTCTGAGACAATAGGTCACCTGCTACAGGAGTTTGAATAACCAAAAATTATGATTTTCAGCCTTTTTATATTTCTAACTATTGATTACTATACCTCACTTTTATTGTAAAGGCATTCATTACTTTGAAAACTTCCGAGAGGCCCGGAAAGGACCAGAAAGGCCCGAAGCTGTCCGAAAGTTCCGGAAAGGACCGAAGCTGTCCGGAAAGGCCCGAAGCTGACCGGAAATGGCCCGAAGCTGACCATAGAATGAGCTCCTGTTTCATCAGCATTTTAAAATAAGCAACAACAATGCAATCATTTATTTCAGTTGTTTTTTATTTTTCAATTCATCAGTGATTACAATATAACTTAAGAAAGATCGTAAACAGATGTCCTATGTTGCGAGGCGTGACTTAGTGTTTTACAATTCTTACATAGTTTGGAGTAACTTTTCGCGGTATCATAATTCAGAGGAAATTTATGTTTACAAATCGGGCAGGTTAAGATCATACTGAAGCGAGGAGATGGATTTGACAAAGCATCGTGCCAATGACATTTTGGGCATGCAGCTATCATTTTTACGTCAACATATTGGTGATCGCAATGATCGCAACGCTTTTTGTCATTTGGCTCTTCTTCTTCACTTTCTTGTTCTGAATTTTCATCCTCCTGCTCTTCATCTTCBTCCAAAGCTTCATCTGATTCTGAATCTTCCGAATCTTCTTCTTCGGTTTCCAAATGTTCGCTTCTGATGGAGCTTTCTTCGCTATCATCACAATCGGTGATTTCTTCAGAGTGACGATTCAGTATTTCCTCCTTGTCAAGAATTWCTCTCAAGGMTTTTTTATTTTTTATCCATTTCTTGTTGATTCCGAGCTCCGCGAGTCCTTCCAGGAACGAATTGAGGGCACGCGGTTTTGTTACATCGTTATTGAAAGGAAGCAGCACATACTCCAAAAGTTCTGAGATGCTGGTTTCGGGGATACGACGTTGATTACGGAGTAATTCCCCTCTCGGAGTCCAAAACAAAATGTCTTTAGATGCAGCCATACTGTGCAAAAGATCTGAAGCATGCTGTTGAGAAACAGAACCAGGGAGCTCTTGTAACACTAACTGGATTATGGGCTCTTCATCATCATCACTTTCGCTATCTTCATCATTAGGTATTTCATGAATTTCTTCAGCTTCATTATCTAAAGATGACTTTCTATTCATGATAGAGAAGTTTACTGCACCGATGTCCAAAGCAAATGACTGCTGATTCCTCCAGCTGACGAATTTATAGCAATAAAAGAGCACTGAGGAAGGGGGTCAACATATCGGGAATAAATGAACCCCCCTCTTGCACGAGAATCTGTTTCTTTTTCTTATATGGAGTGCTTGGGTCTTCGAGTTCTTTGATAGAATCTTTAAAAGGCATCAAGATTTCTTTTTCTCTATTACTCAAAGAGATATGTCCTCTGCATAAATTATGTGCTGCTTGAACAATCGCATGCACCTGCGCGGGAGTTGCCGTTTCAAGCAAAAGCTTTCGTTGATGATGTGGGCAATAAACTAAGAGTTGAAGATAGCTGCGGTTCTTCTTTACCACTTGAGACATGATGGTCAAATGAATTGCGTTTAATCTTTGTTTCCTATTTATACGCTTTCATATGACCTCTGAGGTAAGCGCTAACGCTTATTGGCTTAGAATGAGATAGGGCAAAAAAATTTGTCCGCTGAAAAACTGAATGACTGACTGAATAACTGAATAACTGAATGACTAACTGACTGACTGAATGAATGACTGAATGACTGACTAAATAACTGAATGACTGAATAATTTACTGACTGACTGAATTAAATGACTGAATTGACTGAATGACTGACTGATTGACTGAATGACTGACTGAATAACTGATTGAATAACTGACTGACTGAATAACTGACTGAATAACTAAATGACTGACTGACTGAATGAATGACAGAATAACTGGATGAATTACTGACTGATTGAATAACTGACTGACTGAATAACTAAATGACTGACTGAATAACTGACTGAAT